CAGCTGCAAACAATATCACAATTTTGTCTATCAAATGAGACTATGAATGTTTTCTTCCTCCTTATCCCGTCCCTCATAACATCCTGCCAAACCTCATACATCGTCCCTGAGGGTCCTTCTGAAGTAGAGATGAGATCGCAGTAAACCTTTCCCGTAAACTCAGCCTGAGCCTCCTTGAATTTAGAAATAGTGTAAACTGATTGAAACTGCTGCTCCATTTCATAATCTGTGACACACGGTAATGTTTGCGCAAATGATTTGAAATCAGCTTGGAACTCTTTTTCAACTTTACTGCGTAGTGCTCGCTCATACTGTTTGACAAATTGCTTTAATGATGTCTTCGAATGCACATACCCATCAAAGAATGCATTTATACTCTCGCTTCTCTGTGTCGTGACATCCTTGCCCAGAAACTAGTCTTCAGAAAACAAGGAACCCAGCGAGCTCTGTTTGCATATAGTCCGGACAACCAATCGTTCTCATGCAAGCCGTACGTATCAATCATACCAGCCCAACCTTCTTCGAACTCCTGGACAAACTGTGAATCGTATACCAATCTGTGTATCGATCCAAATATTGATGCCTTATTTTCGTGTTGTCCAAACTTCTCAGGCAACTTTTTCAGAATGTGCCACAAACACCATCTATATCTTGTGTTCGGGAAAACTGTTTGAATTGCATTTTGCATTGCCCTGTCCTGATCGGTAATTATCCCCTGCGGTGCTTGTCCATGCATACACTGGAGCCATGTTCTAAACAACCACACAAAAGTTTCTGTGTCTTCATTCGATACCAATCCACAACCCAACAGTATGGATTGTCCGTGATGATTAACGCCAACAAAAGGGGCAAACGGCATGTCGTACTTATTTGTCAAGTAAGTGGTATCAAATGTAACAACATCGTCGAATTTCTTATACGCTTGTCTACAGCGATTATCTGTCCAAAATATGTTCTTCAATCGGGAATCATCATCCAGATCTATACTAAAGAAAAAGCCCGAGCACTGTGCTTGCATTTTTGAAAAGTACGTTTGTATTGCGGTGGCGTCCCCTTCCCCAAGTCTTAATCGTCTCACTTTTTCAATGTAATTTCGACAATCCTTTTCCACGCAACTCATGTTCTCATAACCACCTGCTTCAACAACGGCTGAATTTTAGCTTTTATGCAATGGAATTCTTGCAAAATCATTGACTTGTAGCTTGCGCTTTACATGTGTACTCAATTCTCTATTGCAGCGAAATAACCTGGACTTCGAAGGGCTAGTTTCATGATTGTGGTCAAGGTTGACACTATTAAGTCTCCAAACACCATAAATATCTACAGAAGCAGAGATTCTCACTTTACAACACATCTGTATTGTTGGTTGCGGCTTTGAAGATCCATCAGTATTTTCGTTTCTTCGACCTTCTCGACTACATGTCACTGTCGTCTCCCCTTTTCGAATTTCTTTTTTTAACCGGAAAACCAACAGCATACGCATATTTCTTGTACATGTCAAACATATCTTTCAAATTTTTAAACTCCATACCCACCTCCGGCACTATCAAACCATCTCCTAAAGAGGTTTCACCTTCCAATATGTTAGCGGAGTCCATACAATTCTCATGCTCAGATGCTGCCAAAACACCATCATCTTCACCTTGCACTTCATCCATAATTTCTTCCCCTGCAATATGATAAGATATCACACGTTCAATAATCCACAATAACAATATTATAAGGTTATTATCAATCACAGTTTTCATTCCCATAGAGTGCCTTTGCTTGTCTAATAATTTCAATATAATGGGAATCTATTACATAGCTCATTTGATACATTAACCAGTGTTTAAAATGGTCCATAATAAACTAAATAAAATTGAAAATAGGGTAAAAGCATGTGATTGCTGCACTGCAGAATCGTAATAATGTTGCACAATTTCTTTTGTGATCCCCATTTTAGACCATCTGCTGAATCGAAACTCCAGAAAGTGACCATACTAATTTACACAACCATCATCAATGACATGGAAGGATTGGACAAAAAGCTATAAGATTATAGCTATTTTGCAAATAGAGTTCACAAAAGTTGGCTTCTATCATGAGCTTACCACAAAAGTTGGGCACGTGATTTGGTAACACACACTGTTCAATCTTATAATTTCAATATAATGGCAATCTATTACATTAGCCAGTGTTTAAAATGGTCCATAATAAACTAAATAAAATTGCCCACAAGCTCAGTTTGATCATAAGGTTGCAAAGCTTCAGAATAATAAATAAGTAATGCCTTATTGGTCCTAAAATTGTTAAAGTTTTCCCCGAACTGTTGACCACTCACGTCATTCCCACTACCGGGCGAATTTGGGAGAGTTACTGCATATTAATTGAACATTCAATGCTATTTGTCTAGTTAAATTGGTGCACATTAATGTCAACCCCACAAGCTATAATGGCAATAAAAAATCCTACTAATTAAAGAAGTGAAACTTACTAATTAATTGTTGGAAAACAAAGACACAATGGCTCGCTCCAATGGCGAAGACAAAGAAATCGGGTTTCGATTAATTCTTCAGTTGGCTGGCCGGATTTCTGAATGGGACAATATCGACGTCGGCCTTGAGAATGGGACATAGATTGTTTACTTGGAACAAAGACTGATCGAACCGATTTGTAAACGCATGTGTTCTTCTTGGCTTCGTTGCTTTGCACAGGAAGAAGAGAATGCCGAACGACCATCGTTCATTTTGGTGTAAATAGTCAAAACCAAGAATTCAGAAATTTTCTCTCTCCATCACGTGCACAGCTTCCCTTTTCTCAGTTGTCAGAAATTTATTATTTTATTTGTTTACTTTCTCAGTCCTTTTCTCAATTGTTTGAAAGTTATTATTTTATTTGTTTGCTTTTTCAGTCCCACGTGTGTGCACTTCCCTTTTCCCTCCAAAAACTGATTTTACATGGTGAAAAATTTAAATCCCTGTCAACAGGGAGTCGATCACCCTGTTTGAGAAGATTAATTGTTAAGTAAATAAGAAAATTGTAGTGTACTTAGTGAATTTTGTAGCGATAATATAATTACCCATTAATTAATTTTGAAAAACTTCATAATTTTCAAGACGCCTCTAGAACCTTCCATGGCTGTCTATATAAAGTAAAAGTATTATTATAATTATTATTAATTTTTTTATTTCCTTCATTATAAGTTCAAATAAAAATATAAAAAGTGTAGCTTTGGCGACCGCCGTTAACAAATTCTAGGTGTGTCAGGCCAACGGGTTGCCCCCATTACAGTTACACCTACAACTATAGTTTATCATTGAGCTAATCATTAAAAAAAACTCATTTTACTCTAAATTCATTTTCAATTATACATTATTTCCCTAAAATAAATTTACACGTAAATTCAAAATCTTTTTTACTCTTTTAGTTTTTAATTACACATTCTACTAAAAAAATCATAATTATAAAATTCGTTCTTTCAAGAAACGTCTCAAACAAACCCGAAATTTATGATATATGTCAAGAAGTTTTCAACTCCCCATACAACTGAAGGTTTGACCTATTTGAAAGCTGTCTATAACTCACTAGAGATTTGAGAAATGTGCCGCACAAGTCTCGTTCTCTAATTTGTTTATGCTAATATATATGCATGACATTGCATAAAAAGAAGAGAACACAATTTAGCCAAGCAATAAATTCCCAACAGTTAAAAACCAACTAATTTTCCAAGACATTGATTATCGATCATCATTCTACTTGGTATAAGTTGTTGCACTGCCTGAAATTCATCCTTGGCTCTACTGCACTCTCGTCCTATTCATGCAATCCTTAATTGTTATACTATTTTGTATTTTTCATATTCTTCTTCTCTATGGTGGTGAAGTGCAGTATGGATGAACTTATATATAGTCTTGGAAACTTGACACATACGAATGGATATTTATTTTGATCCTGCGAATTTCAGAATAACAAGTGAATTTTGGTGCTATCCAAAGAACATTAATGAATATGATTCATTGTCAATGAAGTATCTAATTACTCGACGCATGATATAGAGTTTACTAATTTTTGTTTAGCTTCTAAAGAACAAGACTCGGCGAATTTTTCTTGAATAGTTTGTTGGTTGGAGGTAATTGAGGTTGTATATCAATTCAGGGGTGGAGTCATGGGGACAAACAAAAAATTTATAATAGACTAATACATGAAAAAAATGCTATAAAATTTTTCTTTCTTAACTGAAAATCATAAGTGGGACTCGGCCAAAAAAAAAAAAAAAAAGTTAAAGTTCTCTCTTCCAAAAGGTTTACGAATTTGGTCGATGATACTTGTGTAAAGACCCAAAAAGAGATTTGGAATGGTTGACATTGTCTACTAATTGTTACGTTGTTGCACGATCTAGTAATTAATGTATTTATATACATACATGTATAGAATATAATGCATGTCTATGCATGTGGGATAATGGTATATTTGTTAACATATCTTTGAAGCATGATAAGAATATTGACAAGGGAAAGTTGATCTGGTTTTGCGGGGTTAACTCTTATTATGGAGATGGCAGCGTGTCCCAGAATCCTTAGCCACTGTTAATACAGTAGGGGCGAATATGGTGAAGTAAAATATAATTGAATAGTATAATAGACAAAGTTTCACTCTTTTTTTCAATACCATTAAATATTGAGAATTGGAAACTCTACCACCAAGAGCAATAAATTCGCGGAGAGAAAATAGATACAAGAATACTCAAGATTTATAGATATTCCACGGTGACCTCACTGCACAAGTCGATCCATGTAGTGGCTCTGTATGATGGTAGTAATCACACCGGCAACTTAATATCCAATCTATATTATTGTATCACATTTATCCTTATATAGGATAATAGGAATCCTCGCATATATAGCAAAAGGTCTAACAAGTTATTGGGAACTTTCTATAAAGATTGAAGTTATGCAAAGTTATTTAGTTGAGGACCGGTCATGTTGCTTCAGCATGGCTCCCAATAGCCCTATTTTTCAACTATTAAGGTATGTATGAAACATTATTAAAACATCATAAGGGCATTCTTTTAGAGTTTTGTCCATCCTTGGGTGCACAGCTACTATCAATGATTAAGAGAAGCTTAGGTTTCTTGTGCACGACCTTCCCTATACTCGTACTGATCCCTTTGAATATAGTTTGAAAATATTTATTTTGTTGCAATTTCATAATGCAACTTTCAAATTCATTTCAATTTAAGCATTCCATTATACACCGTTTAACAACCACATGGATTTTAGGACGTGGCAGATTGAGCATTTTGTTGTGTATATATATATATATTCACTAACTCGATGGGACTTGAGTCGGATAATGTGAGGATATGTTTATATAAGATAGTTCGACATCTACGATCTGGTCTAATTTTTTATTTTTTTTCGAGTATAGATGTTGATTATGAAACATCATGACACGTTGATTTGAAATTTTCATTTTGCATCATCAGAGTGGGTGTAACAATGAAATCAATGTTTAAAAGGGATTCTAAAGTCAATTCGTTATAAAATGCAAATTTTTTCCATCTTCTAGTCTATTGATTCTACATTTGAGTTGGGATTAAAAAAATTCACAATCTCCATATCTTATCCAAATAAGAAGACATATGCTACCAAGTACCAATTAGGAGATTTGAGAATAAAAATGTGTATCAAGAACTACATCCATTAGAGTCAAAATCAATAATTGATTTCAACTACACATTTCATACAATCCATAAATTTTGAATCACACATTTCATTAAATTTTATAAAAAAACTACTAAAAAATTGATTTTAATCTACACCAAACAAACTTTTCATGGTTACATAATAACTTAAAGTGCTGGAGTGCCTCCATAAGAGAATTCTCTACCCCTTTGACCTTTAGCAGTTTTTTTTTTTTAAATTTAATTTTGATGACATTGTACTTAATTTTATTTCAACAATACGATAATATATTTTTCACCACCACTCTTCTTCTTCTTCTTCTAAAGACAGAAAAATAAATTAAGTAGCACTTATAACAACAAAAGACGGAAAAATAAATTAAAGTTTTATTAGCGGCGTTGTATAAAAGATCTCAACCACAAAGTTTTGTCTTTGTACTATTGTAGTAATGAGG